GCAGTGTGTTTCAAGTTTTTGGAACAACCAGTCAGTTGAACTATCCACTATCCTAATCTAGTGTCCAAATTGTGCTAAAGAAATAGTCTTTGACCCCAAAAATTGTATTACTGAAACCAGATTAGTGATAATAGCTCGGAATATTTGTTAGATGCATCTTATGCTTCCAACTCAATAGCAGTCCATATTCATCAGATTCTGCGGTTTAAACGTATGTTTTTAATATCTCACGTTTAAGCTACCTACTTTATTAATGGTACGCACAATCCATTGGGTAACAAGGGAATGTATAGAGACTAAATAAACCGTATTTATAAGCAAAACGATGCAAAAAGATTGTAGAGAAATAGTGCGTGTTCTAAATGCGGGTCACTAACTTTGTAGAGCTAGTATCCTCTATATCTGACTCCTGTAAATAGTATCCCGTTAACTGAGTATTTAATACAGGCTAAATCTCCTAGTAGAATTATGGACTTACTCGAGATTATTCAAAAGCCTGAACACCAGTTATAGAGATAGTTTATTGTTGAAGATTGGTAAAATCCGCAAGCACACAGGGAAACCAAGAGTATGTGTGTTAAAAATCCATATATATTCATGAGTGCTAATCAAGTATGGATAAATTATTGATTGTCTGTGTATTACGACCAATGGGAGAATAGATTAAAGATTGGTGTGCAGAAATGTGCTCAATCAGATTCACACAGAAAACTACATGATGGATTAAGTGTTTAAATTACAGTGTGCAGATAAATAATACAGTAGTGGAATAGGCTTAATACAAGATGCATGTAACTGAACACGCATTTTTAAGTGTAACTACTGACCATTTATACTTTCAAGAGGATAGACACAGATAGTCTTGAACACAACGCCGTACCATATTTGGTTGCAATGGTAGCTGAAGTCGATTCGCTTACATCAACGTGTTAAGGGTGATTAGTTCCTAATTTGCATAATCCATGATGGGTTCGCCACTTACTACAAGATATTCAGAATCCAGATAGGTACCTGAAAGAGAGCAGCATTATCTCCCACAACCTCAACATCAACAACAGATTGCGGTATGATCTATTTGATTACAAGCTTGAGGGATGATTTTTGTACCTGTGGCCTGTTCAATCTGAGATCGGCAAGTTCTCATAGGTCATCCACACAATGAGCTTTCACTGAGGTCATTTAGTTGGCGACAGAACTAATTAAATGTTACATCTTTACGTCAGCCAGTTGAACCATAGGTATAAATAACGAAACGACAGCTTTCCCCACCCCACGTCAAACTTTGGAAAAACCTTACAATGCAAAAGCATACATACGACAGTTCATGAAGATCTAATCGACTACTGTGTTGTCTCCATCTTGGCACTTGGTGGTTAGGTCAAGGACTGAAAATACACGGTCTTCGGTAAATATACGTGATGCATACATCCCGAACCAACATACTGGAGAAATATTTTCTTGTTCTTAGCTTTTTATAAATCCTGACACACTAGTAATTATCATGAAGTATGTAAAGGCTAAGATCACCTCATCCTCAAAACTGACAACTTTTATACCTAGTGAATAAACAATCAACTTGAATTGTACAGTTTATACTCTTCAGAACGTTTAGTCAATGAAATACATTCAATAGATAATAAGAATGTGAAGCGGTTAAGCAGTATCGTTAAACATTTTCCCCCTGTCAACCATTCTTTGAGGAATGTATCAGATAATTAATTTTTTAAACTTATAATCCCTTGTGTAATACACAAAAAACAGATGCACGTTACTCTGTTAAAGTTATTTTCGGAAAAGTCGGAAAGTCCAAAAGACATGTCAAAATTTTCAGTGAACTAATTATTTACCAGAAAGCATCGCTTAATTCTCATCATTACTTCTCGATACTCCTTTTCATTGTAATTCAGTTTACTTTCTTTAAAATTGTTTACTTTAAACTAATTTATAAGTAGAAAAATAAGCGGAACAAATTTAATTGTGTTCTAGAGGGGTTGAAGATTTTTGATGATGAACATATTTAGGGTTGTCAACATGATAATAAGGGGCGAAATGCTGATCGATAGACTAAAAGATCTTAGCTTATTTCACACCTGCGTGTTTATCCTAACTTTTGGACAGATGAGTCATCATAATTTTCCAGTCATTCTGTCATTTATGCCCTTGAGCATGCGTGTATGGTAGTATGTATGTAACTATACTCCTGCTTGTGTCTTACAGTAAGCCACATGTTACGTTCAATTATATTGAATAGGATTTTATTCCTTCTCTGATCCTTATAGCTTATCGTCCGTATGCATTAATGAACGTCGGAAATTACTTTCGTATTCGACTTTTAATTTAACGTTGTCCTAAGTGTTAAGTCGACAGAGCACATAAAAAGTCAACTAAGATAAATATTTCATTGGTGCCAATATCTTGTGTAGACAATTGTTTATAAATAATTGTACTTTTTGATGGTGGTTGTGGTAGTTCTCCAAGTTACACCTTCGCACAATAGAACTGTCTTGATATTCGCATTGACGATTCTGACACAGATATTGGCTTTTGGATAATTGTTTTGTGTTCCATATGTTCTTCAACCGTACGAATGCTGCCCTTGCTTTGCCAATTCTTGCCCTTACGTCTGTATGAGATCCTCCTTATTCATCGATGTTGCTGCCCAGGTACGTGAAAGTTTCCACATCTTTTAGAGCTTCCTCGTCACATGAACTGATGGCAAAAGACAGACGCGACTGGGAAACATAAGTTTATATACTCTAGTGAAATGATAGGCTTATTATGTACAAAGCGACGAACGCGAAAACAAACACAATCAGTCCTTCGAAATCTGAATGATTTGAAAAGACGGGTTCTATTATAGATTACTCAAGTGGTAGTGAAATTAAGACCTGATTCTCCAACTTATTTCCACTGTATCAGTTAGTATTGTTTATTAATCCTTTTCCCACTACGCTCATAGAGACAAATAAAATTTGTAAAATGTACTTTAACATCTATAAAATGAAAAAAACGATTTGTTTAATAAAAGGATAGAAATTCGTATAAGCTTGAGTTGGTTATATCATTTCTGTTGGTGTTCGACACAATGTTAGGATTTTGTAAATTGATATTATCAGAATTACTTTATATTTGTTTGCCTTCTTGTAGATTACTTATATGATAGGAATATACAAACATATTTGGTCAATGAAGTACTCTTATTTTCATGTTTACTAAAATGTCATAGTTTGTGTATCCAGTTAACCGTAGACCAATTTAGTAGTCCCATATTACCTACTCCAAAAGTGTGCTTTTCGGTTGTTTTAAAAAAGTATTTAAATATCCAATTGTAACTGACGCCAATGTGAGTTTTTTTAACTAAATTAAATACAGGAAACTATCGGAGTTTGATTTAAAATCAAAGACGGGATGTAATGTAAGTCTGCTTACGGATTTAATATCACTACCCAACAAACATAGGTCTTCCATAATAAATTACCATTTTTCAAACAAAATATAGAAACTAATCATTTGAAAGTTTACCACTCGTTTGTCGTGAATCTGCTATACTACACAAAGTTATTCATCTATACAGATACATAAATAATGACCTACTGTTAATCAATAAAATAAGGTTAATAGTTCACATTTTTACTTGTTCTGCAGTAAAATATAACAACTTATAAGTATGCTATTGTGAACCGCGGGGTGGCTACTCTAAATTCTACCGATTGACCAACTTCAAATATCCCAGTACGACCCCAATACTGTTCCACGATCTCCAATATGTCAGAACACGAACCATTAGATAGAAATTGTTTGTGGTGTCAGGAGAAGAAGAATAAGAATTTACAGACAGATGCATATTTATACAGTTAGGACTACCGTGAATATTGACAACAGGGAAATGACACGCGAAATAAATATTGACCAATAGGGAAATGACACGTGAAATAAATATTGATCAATAGGAAAATGACACGATTTCACGTTCAAGGATAGCATTAGACTTAACAGGATAATTTTGGGGATATTTTTCTGAATATTCCAACATATACTATCCTCGATACTGGTTTATTAGTATTTTACAAAATAGAAGCAAACAATATGACATGAAGTGAGCTTACTTTGATATGTTGTAAACTATATGAGAGTAGTTTAAACTCATTATGTTGCATAATGCTATCCAACATCTCGAGTGGAGTAGAACTGAGCAAACTGTTTGTAAATAATATAAGAACTATCTAGATCTGTTGAACAAACAAGTTTTCGGATGAATCTAGAAAAGTATTTGATGGAATTTTCTGATATTTATTTTTAAAAAAAAACTAAATTTCAAAGCCTCATATCAAGATTGCAAATTTTACGATGATGCTTTTATCGTATGTGACAACTGGGACCATGAAGACTAATTTCTAATTTCAGTACGACTAAAAATATCATTTACAGGATAGAACAACTTTTGTGGATCACAAGAAATGAGGATGATTCACTTTAACGTCCTATTTACCATAAATCTTCCAAGGCTCATCATTATCTCCATATCAATAGTTTGGCCCAATCTCCTACAATACAAGTCTTATTAAAACATTGTTTTTATGAGCAACTAAACTACGCTCTAATACAAATACACTGATCAGCGTGTATACCGATCTCTCACAGCTAAAAACAAAAAAAAACTTTATCAGCTGCCTATTTTATTGCATTATTTGCCTTTTTTAGATCAACCATTTTTACTCCTCAATATTTGTGAATAGTAAATTGTGTATATGTTCCCTATTGTTGTATTGTTAAGAAACTTTGTGACAATGCCTTCAACTACCTGACAATATCGTATGATATAATAAGTACACACCATAGAAAAACAAATCATATGTAGTTATGTAATCAGAAACTCGTAACCTTCACTGCACCAAGTAGTTGGACTAACAACAAATTTAAAGTCTATTATTGAGAGCCAAATTGAATGGGATAACGAGTTATAAAATATATTCAATCGCTCAAGTTAAAACCAACATAAACCATTATAAATGCAATTTATTTCGAATAAATGATGAAATGAATAAATAAGAGAATTTAACGGGGAAAATTTCCTTTTCGACGACTTCATTAACAAGAACTGTACAATTATATTTATCGTTAATTTGTTTATTAAACGTAATGGTCTATATTAAAATAGAAAGTTTTCTCCGAAATAATAAATTAACGAAACTTTACAAGAAAAACATCCCATCAGTTTGTGATATGTGAACTTTGAAGCGATCATAACCATCAAGCAAAACACTTGCTTCGTTCGTGTTTGATAGCCAATCTCGTGCACGAAACGCAGCTAAATGAGAATAATACACCGGAGCAGGGTAAGAGACACTACGAGAGCACCGCATATAAGCATAACATAAGTGGTACGTAAACATTTGAAGAGCGTCCGATGTAAAGTTACTGTCATCATATAATACATGATAGTGGGACGGTTTTGATGTTCCCTGGAAGAAATAATCATCAACAAAGAGAAACTAGTTACCTGAATCCCTTCATGAGAACAAATATAGAAATCGAACTCTCTACGATGAGTAATATCTGTATCCACGACAGTCCCTGGTTCCACATTCCGTGACCTGTCAAAATGAAAATGCGAGATATGGTCTTGAAGAAACATCTAACATGTCTGAAAATAAAAACTGTATCGAATATCTAAACATTTCATCATAGCTACGAGCAGTAAAATTTCGTCTAATTACCTGGGATCATGTGGTTTGAAACGGATATGGTGTCGCTTCTGGACAACGATAAATGTAATAGCAGGTTCTTCACCAGGACGAATATCAGTGCAAGCTTTTTGAATGGCAGACAACTCCTCGACCAAAACATTTTCAAACTGACCCTCTGAGACACCGTCGCGATAGAATATAATACGTTTAGGAAAACGTCCCTTCGTATTCCGCAAATACAGCTATAGTATAAATATAAATTTCCCCGAATTATAATGTTGTTGCGAAAGAAATAAAGAAGTAGAGAAAAATAATACTTCACAGTAGTAACAGAGAGTATATAGCATTGAATTTAAAGGGACTAACCGTGAGCAGTTCTCCAACTGACAGATGCAAGTTATCAATAATTTCTCTTGTTGTTTTGTTTCCTCGCTCAGTAGTTGCTTGTTGTCTAACTACAGCCCCGTATCGCATTAACTCAGGACTGACAGATCCAACAACAGCAGCAACTGACTTGAGAACCTGATGAGATTGTGTCGGTGCTGGATGAGTAACATCAGCACCGAAAACCATTATTAAATCCTGACTGTTCTCGATAAGATCTGGGACAATCCAATTAACACCACCAAGTTTCCCATTGAGTTTCAATAATAGGTTGGCTAAAACAAAACAGACTGAATTAGTCCATTCGTTTTAAAAATTGAAACAAACGAATATGAATGAATGAAAGATACTTACGAAACACATTAGGTTTGCGTAGAGTGCTACCACGAACACATTGTGTGCGGATACCCATTCTCAAATCACTTAAACGTTTGATTGTTCCGTAAGCCAAATCATCGTACAGAATCAACAGAATGAAGTTACAACCCTGGAAAAATTCGAATTTGTTAGTAACTGCTACAGAAATCAAAACCAACTCCCTGAAATTAGGTTCACTTACTTGTCGATGAAATTCCTCAAACTTTTTTTCAAGTTGGTTAAGGGAGCATTGTGATATAAATGGTTTATTGCTGAAGGAAACACCGAAACGGTTAGCGGCCTTCGGTAATTCGTCTGTGACTTTTTCCACATCGCCTCTAGATCGCTACAATAAAAATCAAGAACAAAATATTACAAAGAGATTGAAAAAAAGCATAAAAAGAATTACACACTGAAGTAAAGGATCATATATACTTCAAGCAATAATGTTTTTTAGTCAGTTTCCATGTAACTGTCATCAAAACGACAAGGCAAGGTCATCGCTTTTTTAAAAGTTTCTTTCACATTTTGACGTGATTAAATGAAAAATTCTCCCCTTAACAAACATTATTTCGCTGTTAATGAGAAGTGATTGTTTGATGTTCACATTTGTTATACTTCAATAAGGAAACAACAATCCATATGTGTTTATAAGGTACTTTCTACGCACACTACTTGGTCGGAAAGTAGTCAGTCAGCTACAATGTAGGACCAGGCACATATATGCATCGGTCCAAGTTGCCATATCTCATTAGCACAACAAGATGAATATCGAATCCATAGAAGTTGTTAATTCAATGGCGGTAGTATATAAAAGAAATATTGCATATAAGGATATAGTACACGAAGAAAAAAAGATATAAAGCAATTTTAATACAATTGTGTTATGTCCCGATAAGCATAATGAATGGTAACTTTTGGGATCCATTTATGGACAAATACTATGCATATATTTTTATCGTATGATTGTTAAATAACTAAACTATATATATCCATGTCCCTCTTATTATGAGCCTTATTTGACCTATGAACTATTATTGTACAACTTACCATTCTTGAATTATGCCCTGTCTATTAATTACTACCTCCCACACTTACAGCCACTTTCAGCTAAATCTTGTACAAATGTTGTTTCCTATTTTATGGTACGATGTGGTCTGTCTGGTTGGTATATAAAACCAGTATGTTTGAAATAAACGATTTATATTGCAGAGGCTGAGATTGGTGTTCTGGACCTAACTGGCTGGACTAGGCAGGAATCAGGACCGATAAGTACTCTAGACTGATCGTACGGGTTTACGCGTCATTGGTCCGATCGATAATTCACTGCTCTCTAATTGGCGGTGGCGTTACGTTATACATTAACAGAGCGCACAGGTCACAAGTTATAACAAACAGTTGAAGGGAAGACAGAGTTTATACACCGACGCCATTGTGATCGATTCTGAGCCATGTCAACAAGAGGCTCCAACCATTGGTTACGATAGTCGCGCAGACCCAAGCCAAGTAGTCTACATCTACCAACATGGCTAAGACTAGAAGTTAGTTACTTCAAGGACTGATGCCATGTTTTGGTTTGGCCGCTCCTAACTTTCTTCCAACACTAGTCAGCATTGCGCGTCGTGGTAAGCGGTGTTCATGCATACCTGACACGTGACCCAACAATCTCAGTAGATGAAAATTCACAACCACGTCAATTGATTTACCATCATCCCCTAATACCCTGTGTCTAACCTCACTATTACTTACACGGTGATCCCAGCAGATGTGAGTAATATTTCTAAGTCGCTTACGGGTATCTTCTACTCTTAATGGCCACGTTTCGTAGCCGTAAAGTAGAACATAACGAAGTGCTGCGCAGTATACTCGTCCCTTAATTGATAGACGGATATCTCGCCTTCACTATAGGTGACGTAAGTTGGCAAAAGTCAAATGAGCATTTTGAATCCATGATGAGATTTTGTCAGACAACCCATTAGGGCTGATCAGACTTCCGAGATAAGTGAAGTTGTCGACGCGTTCGACCACTTTACTCCCTATCCTTAGTTGAAAAGTAGTAGTAAACAATGTCACGTTGTCTAGTCTTTAATAATTTCCCAGAATTCGACAGGTCGGTGACCGATCGAAATGCAATCCAACTACTAGATTTCTATTTAACATTGCAACATGTTTATTTGATATTAAGCGGTTGAACTGAAAAGTAGTATAATATCATAGTTATCTTGATCGTTTCTATACAAGTGCTGTCAAGTGACTATTCCTCCATACATACATTCTCACTGTTGTTTTAAATCATATTCCCAAGCTTAAGTCTTTTTGCATTATTTTTACTACATTATTTCATTCGTCATGCCAATCAGGCATGGCAACATAGGCCAAAACACATCCATTCGAAACTCTATGTTCGAAATGTCCATCTATCTATTTTACAGTGATCCAATACTGATTCTTATTGGTTGGTGATATCTAATTTTGACAAGCTACTTGAGATCCTATACAATACTGTCATTTAGAATCTTATACTATCATCTAATGTTCATTATATCCGTGTTGGCCATTTATTGTTATGAAGAAGATTCATTTATTTAGAAACCTTAACCTTGTAATCATCAGTCGGCAATTATTTCAATACGTTACCGAACACCAATAGCATCAACAACGAACAAATCATCCATAAAACTTAAAAATATCACTACAATAAGGAAACCCAAAATCTCAAACATACTGGGTTGTTTGGAACACAAAGTATTCCCCATGGAATTGCAACACCACGTTTAGCCGGTTCATGAAAATCTGGAGTATTCCAACTTCCAGCCTTCAGTTGGATTTTATCTGGACGATTAAAAACTGCTTTAGGTGGCTGGAGTACACGTGACTTTACATCTACAGGTTTGTCTGCTATCTTTACTTGAAACAACTGGAATAGTCGATGTGCCCTTAAGATAGAAATAAATGGACATAATTAAGTTAATTTGAGAAACACCACTGTCAAGATTTATGGCACCCAGTGACTGATAAACAAAATTTTATTTGTCTACTCATTTGTGTTACACAACGATCTTGTTCAAGTACTTTAAAAAATACACCGAAAGCAAACAACAACCCACATGAATTTCCATGAATATTTAGCTCATGCTACTTGTCTACGGGAAAATCTTTACAAAAGTCGACTATTTACGGAACTCTTTAGATGCCCCCATCCAAATTCGAATCACATACTTATGTAAATTACAAACTTGAAAAAGTAGCTAACAACACTGTATCCAAACAGCCAGCTAAGCACAGCGCATACGAACCCCGACTCATTTACACGAAGGCCTAGACTTAAACCTGGCCGATAGAATTCAGTCAGCACTAAACAGCTAGACAGAGATTACACTATTTAATACTCAGTGATAAGTCAGTATAAATGTCTCAATCCAACAGAAAGTCAGTGGTAACGCACCAGAATGAGAATCACGTAGGACTGATTAATCTTCTCAAGATTGGAAGTAGGTCTTGATGATAAGCGCCGCAACACAGATCAAGGGTTTCATCTCCAGTAGACTAAACTTCGTAAATCACCTCCCAAAAGTTTTCATCTCCTCCCACATTACCCACATTTGGAATTCGCATTTCTGGAGAAGCACTACTAAGTTGTGTTGAATTGGAAAATGACTTTTTAATTAAGATATAATGGGGCCTACAATTCATTTTGTTAGTAACCAATCGCACATCACATCTAACGCTTTAACTGATAAGGAAAACGAGATAGAACATATTCAAAACTTTAACGCATTATTATCATTTACCGTGCAAATAAAATCGAAATACAGAAATACAGTTACTTTGAAATCGAATTAGTGAAATCCATAAGTTCTCGAAAACGTTCTTGAGGACGTACTGCTGCACAACGGATAACCTCACTAGCCACATCAGCCTTGCTCGCGTTAGGTGCTTGAAAAGGAAGAATATTTAGTAATTCCATTGGCATATAAACCTCTCGTTTTTGATCAACCTAAGGAATGAAACACTAAATGCACATTACCTTTATGCACGGAAGATCAGGATATTTTAACTTAATATGGTGATGTTCATCAAAGTACGCAGCAACAGACTGCTTTCTCTCCTCGATCATAAGCTTGTCGGCTGGCACAGAAGATATTCCATGCACGGTGAAACGTCTAGAATACACATGTCCTTGAATAGTTTTTTATTAGAGTAAATAAAAAAGCCACATACCATTGTCACTTTTGTAAAACTTGTCAGTCTCAACACGTATTCTTCTTAAATCGTTAGCCATTTGTGAGCTACATCTGTACATGTTGTCTCCATACTTTTCGTACATAACATCTGCTAGGTTACCAGCTGTGAAAAAAGCCTTGTAGGTCTTCAAAAACAAGCAAATTAGAAATCTCAAGAAATACCATGTCTATATTCATACGGACCTTCCATTGAGGTCTAATGCTAGCGATAAAACCTCTGTGGATACTCAGTAGCTTATCTGCAACGACTTTCACTGGCTTTTCGTAAAATAAAGCAGATCTTCCAAGAGATATTAACGACTGCTTCGACACAGTTCTTAATATACAATCTAACAATCTTATGGATTCCTAGAAAGGATGATTATAAAACATGAACATTACTTGGGGAATGTTTAACGATGTTGCTTTTGGGTTTTCTACGTATTGTTGTACATCGTCAGTTGACACCGTCTGTACTTCCATCAAGTGATATTTTAGAATAAGATTATCTCGACCAAGTGGATCAACAATTTTCATTTCTGTCTCAGTAGGAACTTTTCCGATCCCTGGCAAACGATCTGCCGAGTATATGTCATGGCCACCATCGTAAATTATACAGTCGTGTAAACTATGTAAACATAGAGAGTAAGTAGAGTAAGTAGAAACACCAACAAAATCAAATTGTTACCAAGACCGATAATGAGACTGTCCATTAAGATTTCACAAATTAGTAAGTCAAAGAAAACCATCAATTTCAGAATTAGACAACGCAGACATCAAAATTCCAAGAACCACCGGGAACGAAGTTTCCAGAAATCTTCCATGAATGTGAATATCAAATTTAAAGAAGAAATCCATAGACAAGTCATAAAGATTTGTCACAGGTTCACCTATAAAACGATATTGGATGATATTCTTCTTATCGGAGAGATTTACTTTTTGTTATTGGTACATGTATGATACCAAACGAAACATGCCTGACTATTATAGTAAAAATGTGTGAAGAGAAAAGTGAAGATAAATTACTTTTTCTGGAAATTCTATATAGACCGAACAGAAAGTACTTAAACACGACAATAGGACCGTTTTATAAGTTTTATACCATCTTCGTATAAACAAGTGACAGAAACACGTAGTTTAAGGATAATGCAACATGTGTTATAAAAAGTAGTTGAACATACTTTTTACATCAAGCATAACGGTTCAACGACATCATTGCGATAAACAGGTAAATATTTTGAGCGCAAGTACAGAATATTTATACATATAAACCTACAGTTTAGATATGAAACATGGTGCTCATCAAGAAAATCTTCAAATTTAGTATGGGTATTATCCGTCAAGCAAAAATAGTTTTATTGTCAATCTATATTGATGTGTTTCTTTTAAAATCCTTTATTTTGTTATGAAAATCAATCACAAACAGTCGGTTCAAATTCAAGTGTTCTTTCATCACGTCATGCAACTGGTAAATCGAAATATTTGAAGTTGTTCACTTGTTCGAATCGGTCATTTTACACAGTAATCGATTATTGACAGTTTTCCTAGAATTTTACAAATATTAGGGTCATTTTCGTCACATCCGTCTTCGTTTAAACAATGAAAGAATTTAACCTAAAATGGTTGATAGCTCTTAGGCTTTCTCATGTGATTCTTTAGAGTCTAATTCAGGCATACCAATTTTACAAACGAGGAATAGTCATACATAGTTGGGAAATGCCACTCCACTCATGTTAATTAGTCAGCAAGGAAAGTTACAAATACTAGTTGGTAAAAAGAAAAGTTCTACTTCGAAAATGAGTGTATGTGTAAGCTAAAACATTCGTAGGTAATAAGGTGTGAAAGAGTATTAGTCACTCAAGTGTGATGTCCCCAGTCAAATTGTTCTTGCTCAAACAAATAAAATCCAATATACATGACCAGCAAACTACAAAATAAATGAAATGATAATACACCATGAAGTGTATCTGAAAAATACTTACCTATCAGCCACCTGTTTAATTAGAGCACGTTTATCCTTAGCAGACATTCGTATTTCAGTCCTGTTTCCTTCATCACCACGATATACAGCGAGAGCTTCTGCTCGATACATGTAAACAATTTTGGGCTTTATCGAAAAATCCCAACAATTAACAGTCACATACATTTCTTTGCCCGAATGTCCCCCTCCATCCGGTCGATTAGGTATTGAAAGTCTTTTGATATTCATTCTTAAAATACACAAGATAAGATGACGTGTTTCACTCAAGTAAAAACCGACCATACTTTTTCCAAATAAAACAAATATGGTGAATATTGATAAAAATAACTCACTTAGAGAAATCCTCAGAAAGATGAACACTGAAACGAAAAGTAAGAACCGATCAGAAATAGAAAGCAAGCTTGCGAATTACAACAAAAAGCGATCTACAGCAAACCACAGCACTTACGTTTCTATTACTTTTGGATGCTTCTTTTTCTGTCTCGCGGGTTTGGAAGGTGAACTTGTTAGTTTTGACGTCGAAGGAACATCAATTGCAGAAGATTCATCACCAAACAACGATGAAACAGGAGCCCTGAATAACAGAAAATCGGATCTTAAAACCAATTCAATATATTCAAATCATATATAAAAAGGTTTGCTAACTAACAAAGCAAAAATCAACATCATACAAATAATTCAACAGATAACGTACATACCTGATCAGAACTGTAGCTCGATAGTTGGAGCGTGAAACGTAACTGGACAACAGATAAAATTTTCAAAATATTCTCCCCATCATTTTGCAAATAATCCAGTACTCTCATCAAAAACATCCAAAACCACAACAATTTCTGCTTAGTTTCTGTCAAAAACACCGGAGCAGTTAGCTAAAAATCAAACAGCCCGGATCCCTCTATCACGCGTACATATTTATTCACCTACAACAACAATGCTTGCAGTCATTGCATATAAGGTTTTGAAAAATAAACACATAGATCCCTTATATTCTTTGTCTAGAAACGAATAAATAATCAGTCAGTGAGCATCTATTTACAACACAGATAGTCAATCAATATACCCTCCCAAAACTCCAATCAAATTATCTTCCTATCAGTTCCAAAGAACCTTCATTAACAGATTAGCACTAATTACAGCCCCATAATCAAAAAACATATACTCACACATTTGCCCATTCATATTGGAATACTCAGGGACTTACTCTTGTACATTTGGTTGAACTGAAGACACTTTACGATCTCCACTCTCTTGAGTTTCTTGGGATCTACGAAAGTGATGAACAATATGAAAACGAAAAGGAACATGTACATATGGACGACGGCAAATAAAACGAGCAAAAACAAAGTTCCAAGTCAGCCATGATATACAAGGAAATATTTGCTCCCATAGAATTGATATAACGGACGGTTTACAATATTGTTTTCCTCTCGAACGTATTTTACGATAATACATTAATAAGACTAATCACGTTATTTCAGAACCAGGATTCGCGACCCAAAATAAAATACCAGATAACACTAGATAATACTTTATTCAATACAATTACAAGCAGTTACAGTGATTCTAGAGTAGAAATCGACAAGGACGAAAACCACATATTTAATAGTCCGTAGGTTATGGTTGTTTATTCACACTCAGCGACCAACCATACTAGACTTTCACTACCACACAAGAATACTAAAGATCCCCATTGTGAAAATTAAAACAAATCACATAAGCAAACAGTACTGTTGCAATTAGATCATCATTAGGTTTTATTCTAATATACAGAAATATTTATATTGATGCATATAAACATTACACCGATCACGACAGCTTATGAATCAATGATCATAACAAAACAGATAGCCTAACTACACCATAATAGGTAAGAAGTTCAGATTTATAGCAAGAAAGCAGGCGCACCAATAATGATAAGAGTGATAAAAGAGTAAAAGTTCCAGTCAATACTTTAACATGGATAAATAAACTTTAAAATAATAATCATAGAAAATTACGAATTTATGTAATAAGAATTGTGTAAATATAATCATTTAGTGAATATAAAATGGAAGAGATAAAGAACGACAGAATGTGAAGAAATTCGTAAAATCGTTTATCAAGTCACATCCAGCCAAGGAAGAGATAAGGATATTACGAGTTTCTCCTGAACACAAACTAGGGTTATAGGTTTGTGTGGTGTTTGAATTAACTAATGATTCTTTTGTACTTGTTGAATGCACGATTTCGAATTCTAAATACAGTACATTCGTTGTGCCTGTGTCTTCTTAATTCAATTGCGTTAATCCTGGAATTCCTAGTTCATACGAGAATTCGAATACTATAGTTTGACAATCCATTTTCCTAAACAAATAACTTGCTCTCAACCTCACTAGAGGAGCTAGCTAGGTTTAAGACCACGGTAGTCGTTAATTGTCATCATTACAATCAGGCAGCATCGATATGCTCTAACAAAGCAAAGATGATACCTTGATCAAAAGCACACTACATAAAGATATAACTTTAATAAATAAAACGTAATACATTGATAAATTGAATTCAATGCTCAGTGATCTTACCAAATTTCAAAAATTTACTGATAATAAAGACCAGTGAATAAGTAGATAAACAGATGACTAATATTCTTAGATAACTAAAACGAAATCGAGTTATCTCGTCCGAACTTCATGATCCACTTACATCAATTGGATCAAACTATATTACGACAATCTGGTCTAACCGAAGTTCATAAGATGGGTTTTCTCCTTCGCCCAGTTTTAGAGAAGTATAATTCTCCATATCACAAAATTGCAATGTGGCTGGTTAGAATCTTAAAACCTATGTATAAATCATTCGTAAAAAGAAGCATCAAAAACGTTTTTGACTTCATTATCAAAGCTGAAAGGGGAGGATCTTGATGGAGGAGAACGGGATATTTTTAGACCTCTTATCTTTATTTACCAATGTAGCACCAGTCGAAACTGTCGGGTTTATATGCAAATAAATACTAGAAAACAAGTCAATTATGGTTTGCCTGAGAATAGTGTTAAAGAATCACTTCTAAGGTGTTCGATGAACGTTCATTATATATTCAAAAATATTTATTGTAGACAAGTTGGTGGAATAGCTACAAGATTACTTTAAAGCCTAAATTTAGCTGATTTCCTAAGAAAATTAGAAAACTGACCCCTCAATAAGGTTACCGAGAAATTAGATCGATAATAACTTTACTGACGATACATTCATCATCGTAGATCCAAATACTAAGAGAGAACTCCCAGATACGTTTAGTAGTGTATACCTGGCAATCGGTTTCACTCGTAGGGATGAGTGTGACAATCAACTAAATTTCCTTGACATTTCATTAGGTAGACAGTGTGACAGTTTATCAGAAGCGTGCATATGAAGAGTTCCTTTGCTTGTCAGTAAACCCATTACTCGAGTTTTTCACCAATCCGCTACAAAAGGAATCTGATCAGATGCCTTACAAGCTGGGAAAAGAAAAGAACTGTTCCGATGATACTATTGTAGTGACCTGTTTTTATCACGAAAACACGATTGGTTTAATGAAAACAATTATTATTATAACCAATTGTACTAGTGCTTGATTTAATGTGCTCTTTGTTTAGTTGTGCTAATGACAGCTATATTGTGTTTCCATTATTATTCTTACACTTTGATTGTGACCTCGCGCGAATTCGGTTACGCTCTGTAACCAAGCTTGTATCCTGGCACGAACTCGGTATTCTTTCGATACCACGAGATCGCCAGCAAATATATCTCGACTTGGTCCATTAACTGCCTTCTGATATTTGGCTTCCGGGGGATTTTATGCATATCCTGGCACGCGTTCCTTTGTAGTGGTGTTCATAGTCTAACGCGACTCGACGCCAACATACACTATAAAGGAGCTACAGTTTATTAATAATATACTTCTCTGCGACACTGATAGTCAATCAATATACCCTCCCAAAACTCCAATCAAATTATCTTCCTATCAGTTCCAAAGAACCTTCATTAACAGATTAGCACTAATTACAGCCCCATAATCAAAAAACATATACTCACACATTTGCCCATTCATATTGGAATACTCAGGGACTTACTCTTGTACATTTGGTTGAACTGAAGACACTTTACGATCTCCACTCTCTTGAGTTTCTTGGGATCTACGAAAGTGATGAACAATATGAAAACGAAAAGGAACATGTACATATGGACGATGGCAAATAAAACGAGCAAAAACAAAGTTTCAAGTCAGCCATGATATACCAGGAAATATATGCTCCTATGGAATACAAAAACTTCAAATATCATTCACATTGATAAGCTCTCTATGATCAAAGTTCTACCTGAAATACATCACCAACTGAATTGAGTCACATACGGAATATCAAGCAATAACATGGTAGTCAAATCAAAATTAATTAGTAGATGATGGTCAATGATTTAAAGATATGCGTCATAAATGTGTTAAACTTATTTACTTCTACAATGGACTGACAATCACAGTCATATAATCATACACCTTGTATGCGTTTCAGAAACACATGCCAACTATTAGTGTGAATATTTGCAATGTGAAAAATAGAAATTTCTTTAGTACTTTCAGTATTTCTGCTTCTCATACTCTATCAATTACAAAAATGCAAATAGACATATAGTCAAACTGCGGTTCACATATTCTACGAAACGTGATTAAATATCTTAAATGATCTCCAGGTAAAGGATTTTTGTATTCATGTTGGAATTTCGCTAACCACTAATTCATAAGGGCTGACGAGCTTTCCATTAGTTGAAAATAACTCCTTAAAATTAAATACAAGAGTTTGGTTGCACTAAGCCGCATTAAAAACCATGTCATATTTTTAAAGGAAACAGTAACAAGACTTTTTAAGTCTTGATAATCTGGTTCCTGAACAGTAAAAATTGAGGTACCTCAACTTACTCATTCATTGGCTGCCTCGAAGTTCGAGATTTCTTATGTTTACGCCTACCACCGTGAGAACTCTTAGCCGAACTACTGGAAATGGGACAGTAGATAAGGATTACCGATTAAAATACTGTGGATTCTGATACAAAATAATTGTAACACGTCAATTAATATTTTTAGAGTTAACATTCAGGATGCCATGCAACTATTTAAGAGAGTTTGAGTAAGACAAAAAAGATTGTAATGCTACTAAAAGTTTCCCAGTCACCCGGTCTTATTCAGTGGCTATTAACGTGGATGAGTACTTCTCTTAGAACCATCTGTCAATCCGTACCAGTGGTAAATTCTAATTATACCTGTAACTGTAGTTCTCAATATAACAAATCAAAGAATACATGCTCTCAGGTTGTATCCCGTGAAATTCAAAGTTCACCGACTAATTTCTGGAGTGAAACACTACTTTTCAAAAGCAGACAAAATATGTTCGAAAATACTAATTTCAACGTGAGTTTATTAGAAATTCGCCAATTAAAACCAAAGAAACGTAACTTGATTGAGATCATGAGTCGACCAATGTTAGACCACCATGTGCTCACTAGTGACTAGCTTCGAGCGGAAATTCTCGGAGTTCTAGTGAGAAACCGTGACTAATGGAGCTAACCCGTGTCGGGTATGAGGCAGTTATCCACCAAAGGCAATGGAAGATGGTCGCGCAATATCGTGGATTGGTTGAAATCAGACATTAACACAGTTGGATGCCAGCTCAGTAATCTAGAGATCAAGCGTCCCCATGAGAAACCAAAGGTCCTGGGTTCGGATCCCGCGAGTACGATAGTGGATGCACACTGCTGAGAAGTCTCATACTAAGACAAAACGGCCGTTCAGTGCTTCCAGTTTTTCATTGGTGATTTAACGTTGGTCGATTCATGGTCTCAATCAAAAACTCAACAATAACTACAACCCCATACTGACAATGTAATTTATTTAATTAGAACAAGTTTACGTATTCAGTTTTGAACCAGACTTTTGTGGAGAATAGCTAGTTTCGAAACATTCCCATATTGTGATTTAGAACAACATATATATTAGAGTAAAACCTGATGAGGTTCTAATTGAAAACAGTGCTGTTCCCTTATAAATGTTGTTCCAAATAGCTAATTGTAACAACTGTAAAAAAGTAAAAAATCAATGATTACCTACCCTTCCTCCATAATGAATTCGGCGCAAAATCCTGGGAGGTATCGAACTGAATGGTAATCAAATAGATCTCACTGGCAGGTATAATCTACACGACATAAAACACAAACTCAATAATAAGCAAAATGCTATGGGAAAAACCACTTCAAATATTTTATACTTTATTGGCATTGTTAACAAAACACCTTTGAAGATGGCACAGGTATTCAGGTATTCAACTTTTACTCAAAGCATGAGACGAAACATAAGTGAAAAGTCAAAATAACAGCGATTTTACGAGGATAATATACAGAAATCATGCATAATAGTTGAGAATACGAAATTCAGTTTGCTTTACACTGCAGTCGGTCTGAGCCTGGTATATGACTAAAAGCAATCACAGATGATCAAAACGCAATTAAGTCATCAGTAAAAAGTTTAGATAGATAATTAGCTTTACAGGTTAGTATCAGCCTCGACCACAACACCGCACAACAAAAATTGAAACGTTTGGTAAGAGTAACGTCTAGTATGAGACTTTCTTATGTATATTGATTTGAGGTCCATGGTTAACACACAAATCGTCCAAAAATCCTGCGAACAAACGCACAAACAGTATACAGATATATACAGAGAGGAGTATCGCCTAAAATACAGAAAATCAGTCAAAGGTTTTCTCCCATCCGATGAAAGTGCGTGGAAGTAAGCATGAAAAAAAATCTAGTTCTTGCTAATAAACGACCAGAAGCTGTCAAACTATATGCGTATGTATTCTAAGAACCTATTCTACCATATTTGGCCATAATTTAAAATGAATTAGTGTAGTGACACAGCAAACTTTTGCTGTTGGTATTAACACCAACAGCAGTTTAGAAATTAACTCATCCATCTACTAGTTAACAAACTGAACTTCGTACAGTAATCTATCAACCACTAAAGTAAATTAACTAACGTTGGCTAGGTTGTTGAAACAACTTTAGCAATCTAGTCAACTTAAAAGTGATAAAACTATTAAGTGTCGTTTGAGTTCACAAGAAATATCAAAATCACTGCGTAATTTGTAAGACCCACCAATGGAAAGTCGATAACTATGATTTGCTCCAATGATATGCTAATTATGACACGGCAAAGAAACTAACTATTTAATGGTTACGCCTTTCCAACACTAAACATAAGCTTTAGTCCACTCACTGTTCTGACTAAAAGGTTCTGAAATATTTCAGCTAGCAAAGGACGGAAAACACCAATATTCTCATAACTAGCGCCAAATATATTCGATTACAGCTTTGATAATAGCTGACAAAAACAAAGATAAGGTGTCTTTCACACAAACCTACTAATTGAAAAGTGAAATTGTGGTAATATGCTTTCATTCAATACATATAGAGTTTTGGACCTTCCAAGCGTCAGTTTATCATTACACACAAGTCTCTCCATATCAGTGACAAAAAAAGCTGTGATAGATGAATAGGTTGTAATGACCTACTTTTATGTAGAGAACGCAATTGGTTTAATGGGAACAATTATTGTTATAACCACTTGTACCAATGATTGTTTTACTGTCCTTGTTTGTTTAACTGTACTATAACCATACTGTCTTCCGTTAACCGTGACCTCGCACACTTTCGTTTTCGCTACACAGTCCGGCTCGGCACGGACTGGCGGGTAAGCCACGGATTTTTGCGCACACGTTACATATTGTCGTGGATTTTTTGTGTCGTTATTTATCAGCTATTAACAGGCTTTAAAGTATGACACATCAATTTCTGTATTGCTGGTGCTTCTAACATAGTTTTTATTCCAATTTATTGGCAGTTTGACGTATTTCTTGCTCACCACGTAAGTAAATCTGAAGTTAGCTTAATATAGTTATTTGTAACAATACAAACTCAAGCAAGTAAAGTTCACCATGTTTCTAGTCAAAAAATACATCACAGATTGAGTTTTCATGAAAATGAACCGTAAAATCTTTTACATATGGTTCACCTTCTTGATTGCGGTGACGGTGAACATGGATGTCGGTAGTTGTTTATAAAATGTAAGTAGAAGCAATCAAGCGTTAACCTAATTGTGAATATTATATAACTTGTTTGTATTTAGCCATAAACAGTTATATCCATTAGAGGTATCATTGTTTTGTACTGAAGTGACATAATTATGTAACGTATCTGAGAAAAATTATGTGAGTAACAATTGACGTTTATAGTGTTGTCCAGCGGCTTTGTGAACGTCTGCAGTAATAGTGTATAACACCACATCAAGTAGGAACAAAATCTTCGTGAGTAAAACGATCGGTGTTTCTTTTGAGCATGGTGACACAACCATGTTTTTTGAGTTAATATTGATTTGTGACGTGTCTGTTATAGGGTTCACAAATGAGTTAGTATAAACTCTTCACTCCGTCTCGGTAATACAGTTGTTGTGTTACTTAGGAAGTTATGAATGAATGTCACTACTTGTAAATAAAAGACTTATAGGCACAGTCTGTTACTTGCTATTTGAATAACTTATTGAATATGATACTGAGAACAAAGTTTAATTGTTTGTCTCAAAACGGATTTGTTGTTTTTCAGAATAGTATGAAGCTTATGGAATTTAGGATTACGGAAGATCGTGTGGAAAACCGGTTTACAAGTTTACGATAACTGTTTTATATTGCCTACTGCTATGTTCACTCATCTAATGAATTACTTAAATATAAATATAACAACCATACGCAGTGTTTTACATTATAAATCCTGTAAGTTTGTATAATTATGGTCGAAATAAAGCCAAAACAAATATTGACGCAGAATCATGTGACTGCATTACATTTCGTGGTTTCTCACAAGTTGCATACAACTGAATATGCATTATAATTTAAGATTGAGGGAAGAAATAGTATGAAAGATAATAGAAAGCAAAGAATTGGAATGACCTAGGTTATCAATGATAACTATACATATGTATATGCTTGAACAGGTCAAAGGTCATTTGGTGTTAGACTTAAGGGAACATAAAGGATGGGTGGTGTAATAGTCGAGTGAAGCTCAGAAGCATATAAGATAAATTGTGTGATAATTCTAGATGTAATGAATAAATCAGTGAATTAAGAACTAATAAGATAAGTGAAGACAATCTGAAGAGTTAACATAATTTAGCAAAGAAGTGTGAGTGGAAGGGTGGTCTAAGGATTACGTAATCCATCTTATCAAGGAACTAGCTGCATGAAATTGTCTAGTTCCATACTAATACTAACTTGATAATGGACGTAATCTGACAACGGAAAATATGTAAGGCGGTTGTTTAATCTGTAAGGTTTTACGTGGAGGTCGCATTATTGTTTTATTTGACTCGTTGATTCCTCACAATGAACAACGATATAACGCTAAGTTCTAACGACAGTTCGTAACTAATACAGTAGTACAAATTCTTAATTTTCACACACAATTATTCGTTAAAGCGATTGGTAAACCTCCCCATGAAAGTATGAAGAAGACGAAAATAAAAAATGAGAAAAAGTTTATTGATTTTTCATGACTACTAAAGTGGAAATATAAGTTTACAAGTTGTATAAATAGTGGTATAAAATAAAGCCACAAAGAACTGTTAATCGTAAACCTGCTGTCTAGCTGTTTATAATTCTTAAGTAAAAATTGTAGACCTTTCACTCCACCTGATTCGCGAAGCGTTCACCATATTTCTCAACAATTCGTTGTTTGCACATTCTTTGGAGCCGTTGAAGTTGTATATATTCTTTACTCCGTCTCCGTAATGAAATTGCTGTGTTGTTTTGTAAGTTGTGCGTATTGTCTAATTTCCATCTGCAGCAACACCTAAGAAGTTGATGAGCTATGCAGTTTATATTTGATAATTTAAATAGCTTACCTGTTAGATTTCGTCTTTTAACATATGCCAGCAGGAGATGGCGGCACGGATATCGACACATATTAAACGTGCTACAATTACATTGACAAATACTTACATCCACTTCGTAATGTTGTCCGCGGTCAACCATAAACAACCACTCGCCGCTTTCATATTCTAATTTAACAAAACGCATTTTTTTAAAGTTCGTATAACACCTTGGATCTTGCAAATGGAGTCAACATGTTAAGTAAGGGGATAAGACGCTGTGGGGCATCATAATTGTATGTTCTTCCACTGATTATTTGGTCTTCAATGCTTTTTTTAGAGAATGTCATTGAACTCCACTTAAAAGCCTTGTACATGCATTTGTGCAAGCTGTCACTTTTGCGTACATATCTTTTTATCTGCCTATTTAATGACTCAACACGATTATTCGTGTTGTTACCCAAAGTTAATACACTGCCGTAAAAGGCACGCGCCCACATTGTTTTACGTGGCATCCAGAAACGTGATAGGTACTGGCCTATCACTCTGTCTCTGCGGTTTATTATTCTGTAATATTGATTAAATCTAGTGAATAAATACATTAAAAAATTACCTTCCGACCGTTTCTGCGGTTACCAGTCGAGTCAAGTAGGTTTTTAGTATTTTATCATTTGTCTAAAAGAAATTTTATGTAACAAACCATTGGTGTACCTTTTTCCGGAAAGCGCGAATCACATGAAAGGCGCACAAAATGATGTTTGCATGCCCGTGCGTTATACGGACAGCCGCGCTTTCAGATCGTGCGCAATCCATCACAAATGTTTCTGTTTTGGTCGTGTTACCCATTATCTCCTTGAATTTATCCAAAATCCACGTAATATCGGCACGCTTTTCTTTTTGTGTCCATGCAAACATAACAGTTCGACCTCGACCCCAACTGTCTGTCATCACTAACTGGAATAATGAATATCTACATAGTAGAACAAAACGAAAGTCATATTCACTTTTTATTATTAGTTTTATAAGTAGAATCAATACACACGACTTCGGGATATTGATTGTACAGCCGTATCTGATCATAACTGCTGAAGCATATCGCCGTAATACATCCATTTTCTGCATGCTCTCTAACTTCACCGTTTTGTCGCATCATCTGCAATACCTGCTTCCGAGTCCAACCTGAAATATATTTATATACACTTACCAGTGGAGAGTTCAGCTT